AATGACAACATTTTTAGAGGACATGACATATGAGAGACCATTAAAAGAAATTATCTATCTATCTATCTATCTATCTATCTATCTATCTATCTATCTATCTCATTAATATATTCATGCCTATACATGCATGTTTTAAAAGCAAGAGGAGAAGTATTGAACTGAAAACAAGTGAGTGAAGGTGATTAGGACATGAACCCAGTAAATGACATTTTGTAGAGATGGAAAAAGAGGACAGTTGAGCAGGGTGTCACCCTCAGCCTTTTGCTTCAGCTCACAGAGTTACCCTGGAATGCTCCTGCCATCTGAGTGTGACATGACAGACATCAGAAAAAAGACAGAACAAAGAGATTAATTTGAAAAGATTCATAAGCTCCAGTGCTAGTCAGAAAATGCTCATTACCACAATACCTGATATTTTACAACTTGAAACATTTTTTAGCTTAAAAAATAGGTTTTCTGCCCAGAGAGATGGCTCAGTGGAATAAGTTCAATTCCCGGTTCTGCCAAAAAAAAAGTTTTCTTACCTCCTTTTATAAAGGACACTGGTAGAAATGCTTGGAATGCAATGCAAAATGTCTTCATTGTAACAGCCAGTAATAGTAAACCTTGGGGAATGTTTTTATTCTGTTTACATGAAATTTATTAGGAAGCTCCCTTATTTCTCTATTGAAACTATATAAGAAGGAGTACAAACATAGTGGATTAATAACTACTTTTCCCAGAAATATGTGACTATTTAGGAATTGACAATGTCCTTGTAACTTACTTGCCCACAAAGCGCTTACTGCCTCGTCGTACACTATTGTATCAGATCATGCAAAAATGTCTCAGGAACTTGAGAATGTAAATTTTAAAACAGATAAGAAGTTAATGCACTGACATTAAAGGAATGCGTCCAGTTATGAACTCAACTTGATATTTGGGTTCAGTGGGATTTCTGTTTTAACCACTGAACTAATAGCAGGTTAAAGGTGATGCTTGTGGGTTAAGTCTTGTGACATTTCTTAAAGTGATTTGCACTCCAGGCATCAGGTAGCATGTTCCTTAACATAACTGAAGTTATGGATCTCATGTAAGTATCAAATTTACTTCTTGAGTTACTCAAATGACAAATACATTGACTATATTCCCCAACTATCACCACCATTTGCCCACACGCACAGACATCTCTAACCACAATATTTACAAAATAATGGTGGTGTATTAGCTGCTGCTTTCTAAATTTCAACAGAATGACAATTTTATTACATTTTGGGATATTAGCAAATAATGCATATTTATACTCTTTCGGTTTTATAGGAAGCTATCTCTAAATTTTATCTCATATTTTAATTTATGTTTTACAGTGCTTTGTACTTTTCGAGGAGGTTATGTTCTGGACACCTCTGCAGTAAGTGAAATGAGCGACATAGCATGATATAGATATAGACAGATACACTGTTCCCACACTCTTAACCATTTTCTAATCTCATAAACCTGTGTAATTTTAACCACATATGTATACTATGTGGTACAGTATGTATTTATCCACTAAAGAAATACATACTGTAAATTTTTAATAGATTGCAAATTGAAAATAAATTATTTACAAACATAAATGAATACAATGATAAAAATTGTCCAAAATAAAAATGAAGAAAGAATTTACAGACCAGTCATAATAGTTCACTGTGTCAAAACCAAGAAACTTATATTTATATAGTTAGAATTCTCAAAGTAGAAAGGAGTAGGTGATAAATATTTAAAGAACTTAAATTTCTATATTTAGTTCAACTTACAATACTGCATTTCCAAGAAAAGTGAAACTTTGGCACAAGAAATTTAAATAAAATCATACAAAGATACACAAAAATTAAATTGTGCAAAACTTATTGTAAAGAAAAAATCATTAAAACATATACATAAAAATATTAGCTATGGGAGAACACAATTAAATAGCATCTTATTCCACATTAGAAAGAAAAAAAAGGACCAAGTGTATAAGAATCTAGACTAATTAAAGCACTGAAAGAAAAGATCTGTCCTCTTTGAATTTTATACTTAGCAAACATACCTTTGAAAACTAAAAGTAAGATTTTCTAGTTATGCAAACTTGAAATATTTTAATACCTCCAGAAGTAGCATATAGGAGAAAACAAAGAGCATAATTCAAAAGGCAAGAGAAGTTGCAGTATGCTCCTGGATGAACAATAAAGAGCTCTCCATATGATAGTTATGCAGGACTATATAAAATATATTAGATGAACCCTTATTTAAAGGTCATTGAAGATTTCTATGAAACAGTACCAATCTTATGTTGGGTTATACATGTATTTTTTTCATATATATGTGTATGTGTGTATAAAAGACAGGGAAGAAGTAATATAAAGTCAACAGAAAATGGAAATATACTTTTAAAGTTTCTAATACTAAAAGAAGATATCATATGATGTCTTTTAAATAAGTTATAAGTCAAAGATATAGTATAAATCTTAGAATAAAAATTAAGATTAAGCAATATTCAGAAAATTAAATACTAATTAATTAAAAATTAAATGTTTCAAAACAATTGAACTAAGAAAAAGTTTTCATGATAGCAAAGAAGTACTAAGAGTGAAACATAAGATAAATACTGGAATGGCAAATAAATGATCAGCACTTCTAACAGTTTGAGGATAGGCTATTGCACAAAGCTCTAGTGTGTTGTGGACATGCATAATGACCATGTAAACATTGCATTTGATTTCTATTTAAAATTCATTTAATATGTTAGAATTAACATTTGTAATATATTTTATATATTTTAATTTTTATTGGGCAAAAATCACTAAAACCACAAATACAACATATATATGTACACAGTATTGTACACTCTCCCAAAATCCTTCAATATGGTGAAAAATAAATAATTTAGCTTAATATTTTTTGAAAACCCGAGCAACAGTGAGTCCGTGAAAGTTGAAACATGAAATAGCGGGGGACTGTATTTGTTCTTGCTTTTAAGGAAAGACTTAAAGCAAGTATTGTGCTTATTTTGCAAGTAAAAGCACTGAGGCTTGGATGATAGATTTTTCTACAATTGGCTTACTGTGTATTTGAGAAAAGAAAAAATATTTCCAATCTTTTACCCTATAATTTTATTGTTGGCTTAATGTTCTTCTTTGCCTGTTCTCATTGGCTGATGGATCACCCCATAAGAAGGAGAATTTCAAATTAATGAACAATTTAACAGCTGCCATTTTATGTGTGCATTATCAATGCCTTCTTCTATGAATCATTTCAATTATTTGAAACATTCATAAGCTCATTTCTTTGAGATTATTTTTCCCATGAATATATCCACCCTAGATTTTAAGCTCCATCCAAGAAGAGAATTATTTATTGATGCATTGTAAAATTTTGAATATAATTGCTGTTACTCATAGTTTGTGCCTCACCTCCCAAATCACACAAATTTAGACTTGATTTACTACCTCTCTTTCCCATGTCCTGCATTATTTCAGTAGTAATTTTCCTTCATTAGATCATCTTCTGACGAAAAGGATAACAAAATCAACTGTATTATGGAAAAGTTGCCTTTTAAAAGTTCATATTTCTTTCAGATTTAGGGATCCCCCAAACCAACCAAATTTTAAACTGTAAAGTTCACAATGAAGGAAATAGGTTGAAGCAAAATGCTTCAAGCAAAATGTCAATCTCAAAGAAAGTTTGAGTTATGTCTTTTTTAGACTAAACGTCATAGGATGGAGAGGGATGAGGTCTTCTGAAATATTTTTTAATCTTTTTCTTCTGTAACACACAGAACAAGGAAGGCAAGGGTAGAAGAACATTCCATTTAACTTAAAACTAAAACACAAAACAACACAACATGAATGTAGAGTTAAGGAAAAAGTATTTGAGGATTATGAGAGCATCGACACAAAATGCAAAAAAAGTCAGATGCCCCAATAGCCTGCCTTAGAGTGGAAATAAATTAAAACCCTTATAGGTGGGGGAAACACTTACATAATCATTTGAGTGTACTTGATTTTGAATGATCTCATAGTAAATGTCCCCCAGAGCCCACAAATATACCACAAAGGAGTCACTTTACACCAGGACTCATGAGCAGCAACTGTTCTTGAAAGAAAACAAATTTCTGTTCAGGGAATTTGAACCACTCCAAAGGATTTAATGACTTGCAGGGGTTTGCAGGTCAGTCACATCTGTTCTGAAATGAAATGCTTCTTCCTGTTTCTATCTTGACTAACCCTTAATCCCATTAGTCTCTACATTTTAAAGGAAAGATTATTCCTGTTTCATTAGCTGTGTAACAGTCAGGGCCTTTATGTTTATTCTAGCACATGGAATTCATCACAGTTTTATTCTTCTCTTTCTGTCAGCAAGAAGGAAGAGGCAAAGGAAGAACAAGAGAGATACTGTGTAGATCCACATTAGGTTTGAAGGGCTGATTTGGATGTCTAGTCCACATAGACACTGGTGGGAAACAAATGTGTCTAAAATAATAGTTAGAACTTTCCAAGATGGAGAGTTCCCCAACTTGAATTTTTCTTTCTTTCTTTCTTTTTTCTCCTCCATTCTTTCATTTGGCTTTTCTTTTTCTGTGTCTGAGTCTTCCCTGTTTAAAGGAAAGGGAGCTAGGCTGTAAGGGAGGCTAATGCAAGTTCATAGCTCTCTCAGAGAATGGTATACCCTGCAGTGTAAACCTCAGAGGCTTTACATTTATGCTACACTGAAGAAAAAGGACACATGCTTCATTCTAAAACCTTACTTCAAAATGCAGCAATTGGCTTCACAAATTTGAAAGGGAAGCAAAATGAATTTTAAAAATCTAAAATGAATACAGGCAGAAAAGCCAGCGATTGGACAGGAATGGACAGGTTGGAGAAGTCAAACATTTTATAAAGGGATGGTAAGAGAGAGCAGCCGCTTGGCACTCACTTCTCCATACCTTCTTTATACAAATATCTACAGTAAGAGATACAGCAGCCACCCCCATGTTATATGTCCCCACATCTTACCTGTGAGTAGACAAGGTTTTGCCAGTGCTGTGCAGCAGGATAATTTCCACTCAGCAACCTCGCGAGGCTGGCCTGTTGAAGGGCTGGGCTCTTCATCAGAGACTTCACATCAAGCTGCAGAAATTTGTCAGGATGGTTATTATTGGGCAAGACAGAGAGATCCATGCCTCACTTCTTCTACAGCGGAAACAAAGGCAGGCAGAGCCGTTCTGGTTGGACTCCTCCATTATTAACGAGCCTGGGGATGCTCCAACTGGAATCTGAAACCAGGTACACTCAAGCCATTCTTGAGATGACACATCAACTCATCATAAGAACAAAGAAACACACACACACTACTTTAAGCACATGCACACACACACACACACACACACACACACCTGAGGGTGTTTCACTGGGACAGATGGGGCTATGCTGATTAAAATGAACAGGATGACCAAATTAGATATATGTGCAGCACTGAATGCTTATCCATCTAGAATCTGCACCAATGATGTATGGGGGTGAAGGGAGGCTGCTGTCTGCACAAAGGCTGGCAGGATCTCAGTATTATGGTTCATAAACTGGAGAACAAGAAGCAATCACCTGTATTGGTTTTCCTGTTTGAATTTTTCCAAGGTAGCACACCTGCCTTGGCCCTGCATAGTCAGCCTCACATGCGATACTCAGTGTCTCGTTTCATCTCATGATCTGGCTCCCAGTGTCTCAAGCTCATATGAAACCCAACCAGTTTCAGGTTTTCAGCTTGCTCAGAGTAGGGAAATGACAAGAATTTGCTTTAGCATTGGCTACAATAGTTCAATACCCTATCTACTCCTTCTGCCACTCATTGTGGAGATTTAGCTTCTGCTGCAAGCTGTCTAAGCTGCTATGATGTCTGGTGTCCACCTGGCACCTTTGGAGTTAATGGGAAACATGGCTGCTTGTGGTGCCATGGTAATTGAAGCCGTCTGCTGTTAAGACAGCCAAAGTGGAGGTGTGGCTTGGACACTACAGCAAGCCAGCGAGTGGGGATGACCTTAATGGGGAGATATGCACTGTCCTCACAAGACATGTTGCTTAAGGTGACCTGTATTTCTCACTGGGAAAGTATAAAATTCCATCTGGAGGAAAAGGGGCATGTCCCACTTGTGAGAAAGCAAATAACAAATACATCAGAAGTGTCTAAAAGACACGGGGTGTCTGTTCCTTTTTACATATATATAGACTCCTCTGATGTAGCAGGCAGGCTTTCCTTCCAGGGCAGTGAGGTTACACATGGAATGTATCAGCATTAGATTTCAGAACAGTGCCATGTCGCTTATGGAAACCAGCAGCCAGGATGTTCCTGAAGCAGACAAGACCCTGGAGAGTTCTTACCTTCTTTATAGCAACAAAAGGGGATGTATTTTAACAAAAATCTGTCCTACTTATAGTTGTAAAATTTAATTAAACAGTGAGCATGTTATATAAGAATTTTTTGGACATGAAATCTGCCATTGCTTACAATATTTGAAACACATTTTAGGAGCTTTAAAAATAAATTTACTAGAGAAAGTAATATATATTTTATATGACAGTTAGCAAAATAAACACCAGTATTTCCAGAATCAAGGATATTATGAATATGTGCATGTGCTTGATATTATCTGGATTTTTTTTGGCTGTAGCCAGAATATATCTAATGAACAAATATTTCTTAGACTGTTTGCTTTTTCTAAAAGATTCTTTGGGGAATATCACACATCTTCAAGAAGAACCTTACTTGTCTTTGGCTTTCTATACTGGCAAGGAGAAACATGGAGCTTAGATCCAAATACATTTGATTAAGCCCTTTTCTTAGCCAAAGCATGAGGTAGGTGACATGAGCTTTCAGTTTTCCTTAGGCGTCCTTTTAGATTCCTCTGCTATGCCCTGTGTGCCCAAAGGGTTTTTTTAAAAAAATATTGTTTATTTGTACATGTTAAATACACATAATGATTACTTTCTCATAGGGACTTTGTACCTGTACATGACTTATCTCAGTTCCTCTTTTTACTCCCAATTTCTCACTTTTCCCATTCAACTCCTCCTACCCCCTTATTTACAATAGCTTTCTTTCCTTTCTTTTATAGTTTTTCCTTTTCCTTTCATTCCCTTCCTTCTCTCCTCTCCTTAGTTCTCTTAACTGAGCACTTTCTTCGTATTTCATAAGGTCTAGTACACATTCTGATCCTTGCTTACTTTTGGTCTCTCACACCAGAGGAACAATGTTATATACACACATATGTGTTAGTCTTTCCACTCACAGATTTGGACTCAGATTCTTTATCTTCCATTGTCCTTTTTTCATCACTATGAAAACCTGTATCTCTGTAGATAGCCTCTGTGATGGCAGCCAGGAAACTGAATGCTACACCTTCCTTACCTACTGCTGCCTCACATCGTCACAGTAAACGACGTCTCTGATCATGACTGGAGATGTCCCTTTCCATCTCTGCTGACTATCTCCTAATCATCCTTCATGGGCCATGACTGACAGATAACTGGCATAAAAATGTTACAGTTTTCGTTATAGATATTTTTCCTCTGTTGAAACTTCAGAGTTAAATATTTATAACTTTATCTTGCTATGTTTTGTTGGATGATGTATTTTATACTTTCCGGAGTCTCTGTATTAGGTGACACTTTAGAAAATGTCCATCTTCCTTGATGGCCATTTTTAATATCCGTTGTGTGTGAAGACCCAAGTGCAATCCTTTATTCCACAAATAATGACATTTTCTGTTTCCTAGTCTCTTTTCAATTGTTATTGGAAATTGGTAATCCAATTAAATTTAATTTCAAAAATGATTGTATGCTCTGTCTTTTAATTTTCTATTCCACTCATGCTTAGTGGATAAAATATTTGACATGCTCTAGATTTTTGGGTTTATAATGCAGAAGCTCATATAGAAAAATTATAAATTCTGCTTTGATTATGCTAGCATTCTCCAAGTTTCTTTCATTTCATAACACCTATTCTCTCATTTTCTTATAAACTTTTAGAACTTAAGTTATTTTAGAGTTATTGAATAAATATTGGCTTAGGATTCCTATTCACTTTCACTAATAGTTTTATCTAAGACTAGCAAAAGATATATGAGGCTTCTCAACCCTCCCCATGCAGGTAACCATTTCCTCTTCCTTTCTGACAAATGTTTATAAAATTATCATTTTCCCATTAATTTTTTACTCTCAGCTATTTCTTTTTCTACCAGGAGAATTGAAAGAATCAAATTAAATCTAGATTTCACTAGTTGAAAACTCTATGTACTAATCCTTCCTAGCTTCTTTTCGTTTTTCTTTTTTCTTTTTGTTTTAATGAAGTAAAATATCTGAAAGTATTTCCAGCTGAAAACCCTGTGTACTGTTCAGACTTACAGTGGAATTTCATCACATTATTCAAGTTTAAAAATTATTTGGAGCATTTTTGTTTATAAATCTTCATGCATCAATTATAAGACATTTTTAAACCTAAAAGAAGCAGCAACCATAGTGATTGAGTGCACATAACTCTGAGTCAGAGTCACTCTGTGTCTTACATCTAAGTTGTCTTTTGGGCAAGTTATTGAATCTCTAAGCCTCAGTATCTTGTGTTAAAACTGAAAACATTAATAGCATCCCATAAAGGGTGTTGCTTACTTTGCTGAGACAAAATAATCAAACACCCAAAGTTAAAGTAGCAAAAGTTTACTTCAACTCCCAGTTTATAGAGCTTTCAGACCGTAGTCAGCCTGCTGCAAGGCAGGACAGCATGGCAGAGGGGCATCACAGAGGAGAAACACTTTCAGGACAGTGAAGCAGGGCACAGGAGGCAGCAAGAGGCCCTTTCCCTTAGATCCTTTTTTTTTTTTTGATTGAACTCAGATTCTTGCGTTTGCCAGTCAAGCGCTTATCCTGCTGAGCCATCTCCCCAGCCCCTTCCCTTTGATCTTATTCACAGAATAAGCCTTTGGGTGGTCCTGCACCCAGGGTGAGCTTTCTCATTATTCACACCCAGAACTATGCTAAGTCAGTCAAAAGCCTAGCTCAGTATTATGGCCTTAACTCATATTCACACATGAGCATTCCACTTTCATACACTCTGGATCCAGCTACTCCAGAAAAGTCCACCTATGAGCTGGGCATGCATGGTTGGGGCGGGGGAGAGGGCTTCTCGATGCAAGTGATGACACGAAGTACTTGGGAGATTTGCTAAGCATGGTGATTAACAGAAAGCTTAGCATTTAGCTTAGCGTTTAGTTCAGTTCTTAAGCACTGAAACTATTCACTGTTGCTTTAAGAGCACATAAGGCATAAATGTACATTTCAATTGTCTGCTATAAAGCAATCTAGAACCAAAGCAAACATTTCTGTTTATGAACTGTAAAGTGAACATACTTTGTTATAAATTTTCAGACTGAGAAAGGAATGTTTGACCTGCAAACATTTTTTAGTATTGGCCAATTGATTAAGGAATCCCTAGAGGTAAAATATATGAGCATTCTACTAAACTCTTGCTTGATTTGTAGTAGTATTGCGTCTGTATTTGGTGAACAAAAGTTTAATTTGAATCATGACCCAGAGAACTGTGTTCTCTTTTTTTCAGTTTCCCCAAGGGAGCTAGTTCACAGACCCAGAAGCCCTTGAATAATGGTGAGGCCAGTGCTCTATGGGGAAGGATCAGCATAGGCCATTCAAAAATTGTCCTGTAAATTTATTTTCTAGACTTTTCTAGAAAGCCTTTCCATAAAGGATAACTGTGTTTCAATGAGGGACAGATAATCAGTCTTCAAGGACTTTTATCAAAACAAAAGAAATTTTCAAAAAGTCAGAACCCCAAAATTCAAAGATTCAAAAAAAAAATCAATGACTCAATCAAAAACAATGGGCATCTGAGATGAATATACACTTCTCAGAGGAAGAAATAAAAATGGAAAGTAAATATATGAAAAAAATGTTCAACTTGATTGGTAATTTGAGAAATGAAAATTAAAGTAACACAGATTTTACCTCATCACAGGAAGAATGGCTAACATCAAGAAGTCAGCCAATAACAAGTGCTGGAGAGGTTGTGGGGAAAAAGGAGCCCTTCTCCATTGTTGGGAGTGTAGACTGGTACAATCACTCAGAAACCAGTGTGGAGAATTTTCAGAAAAGCTAGGCTTGGAGGTCCCATTAAACCC